CCAGAGTTAGTTTCATTAATTTGTCTTCCAAGGTACTTCTTAGAAGTTGTCAAATTTATTTCAAAACAGATTTTTGGAATATGCTTTCTATATCCTTTTAAATTCTGTAAAATCTGTGGTAATGTCTCCTAGATCTTGATATTGTAATTTTAAAAATGTATAATTGATATTGTGTAACAAGAAGAAAAGGTCTAAAGGTGCAGGGGAAGTGGGAGGGGTAAGGGAAAGAAAAAAAGGGAAAAGAAAAAATATGAGGAAAGGAAAAAAATGGAAACAAAGTGTTTGCAAATAGGGAAGGGTGGAGTGGGTGAAGGGAGGGCAGGGGAAAGAGAAAAATAAAAGAACCAAGATACTCATGTAATGGTACAAGAAAAAAGAAAAGTTTGCCTTACCAGTTCTCAGGATATAATATAAACTATAGATATTGAGACCAGCTGGCATTGGGGCAGCAATAAACAAAGAGAGGCTAATAAATTAGTACAGAACCTACGTAAAGATCCAGGTATCTACAAAAACTTAAGGTATGACAGAGAGGAAATAATACAGCAGTGGGGACCTAAAGGCCTCAGCAGGAAGGCACTGAGCCACCCCTACAGTGCAATGGGGCAGAAGAGGATTCGATCTGCAACTTTTACCACAAAGTACACTCATTAAAGATGTATTAAGAACTTAAATGTAAATACAAAATTTACCAAACTTTCAGAAGGAAATTTAGGGAAATATATTCCTATATTGGAAGTAAAGAAGAATTCCCTAATAAAACATATAATTAGGATGTTTTTTAAATAAACTTGATAGCATTCAAATGGTACCTTTATTCATCAAAATAGGCCAAATGAAAGGGGAAAAAAAGCAAGCCATAAACTCAGAAAAGATATTATCATATATAAAGCTGAAAAATAATTTTAAAAAGAGATTATATCCTGAAAATATGAAGTCCTAGAAGTCAGTATGAAAGACAATCAGAGCTGGGAGTTTAGTTCAGTGATAGAACACTTTCCCGACACGTGCAAGGCCCCGGGAGAGAGGAGAGGGGGAGAGAGAGGGAGAGAACAAAAGGAAAAATCACATACTTTTCTCTCCCAACCTAAGTCCAGAAACTGGCAGAATGTTAGAAATGTTAGTTGAATACTATCAAGGAGGACAGGTATTCCGTTGGTGCAGTATTGTTTTTATCTTTCCATTTTGATGTAAAACTGCAATTTCTGGTTTTAGTCCAATTTCATTTATAATAATGAGTTTTAATATCCTGTCGTAAGGGGGAATAAATTATACATTTATATCCTCAGACACTAATAATTCAGAACAAATAATTCAGAACAAATTGGATTAGGAATAAAATGTGATAAACATTTTGTATTCATTTTTGAAAAAGGTATTAATAATAACTCTCTAATTATATATCTTTTCAATGTGCCCAACTACAGTATAAATTATGTTAATGTAATGCTCAAATAATTTATTAAAAGTAAACAATACGGAAAATTTAAAACAAACAAAAAATGTTTTACATTTAAGATGAGACCGAACTAAAATATTTCTGCAAGTACATGCTTTCCATCTTGTAATGAAGCGGAAATATGGAATCAAGTTGATTGCCTGGGTGAAATTATTAGGTGTATGATTCACTCCCTATTTCACCTTTGTTTGAGTAGCAAAAGAAAAAAAAGTTTCTCTGCAGAAGCTTTTGTTTGCCTTTTTAATCTCTCCAGTTGTTTTTGACTGTATGTTTGCGTGGCAGGGTGAGGCCAAGGACTCTGGAATGCACAGAAAAATGCTTTTCTCTACCAGGAGGAACTTTCTCACGTTGAGGTTTCTTTTCTTTCTTTTTTTTTTCTTTTTTCTTTTTTCTTTTTCTTTTTTTTTGTTTTTTGGAGACAGGGTCTCGCTATGTAGTAGTTCAGGCTGGCCTTGAACTCACTATGTAACTATGTAGCCCAGTTTGGAAACTAAAGATCCTCCTGCCTCAGCCTCATCTGGGCTGAGAATTTAAGGCTTCCCTGTAGGTAGCCGTGGCTACTTAGCACTTGAATTGTGGCTGAATACCTGAAGACACTTAACTTAGTTTTGAAGACTTTAAAAGAGCCACTGGAGTTTGTATTTTTCCTATTATTTAGTATTGATGCATCTCATTACATATTGACTTTAAAATATATTGTTAAAGCTCATTTCAGGCTTCCTTTTTACTTCTTCTTTATGTCGCTGCGGAAAGTCCCTATAGAACCACTCAGGACGGCACAGGCGCGCTGACCTGGAGCCTGCGGGGCTGCACCGCGCTGTGAGCTCCCCCAAGCTGTGCGTGCCCAGGAAGGGGCTTTCCCCAGTGTGACTCAGTCAGGGAGGAGCCCGCCCCCTGGCGGCCGACGAAGGTACTGCTTCACTGTCCCCGCAGGGAGCGGGCCGCGCTGTTCGCCAGGGGGTTCAGGTCAAGCCAGCTGAACAGCAGTCAGACTTGCTTGGGCGCTGGACTTCAGGACTTTCCTTCCGCCCCTCCCTGGCCCTGTGGTGAGGGCTGAACCCCGGCCTCCCGCCTGCGGGCGCGCCCTCTCTCACTCTGCTGGCCTCACTTCACCCACGCTGGAGAGAGAGCTCGGTGACCACAGGAGGACTACAAGCCTGGCGCTGTCCAGGGTTTTGTGAGACAGGCCTGCGGAAGCTGCCTTGGACGGGAGACTGAGGCAGGAGGACTGCAAGTTCCGGCCCAGCCCGGGGAATTTAGTGACTTTGCAAAGCCTTGTCCTACATTGGGGTAGGCTGGGAGTGTAGCTCAGTGTGAAGGTCCTGAGGTCAATCCCAGCACCACCAAAATCAAACAGAACAGAACCAGACAAATAGCTCCCCAGAAAAGCCTATGACATAATCACATCACGGCGGTCCTGAAGACCCTGACAGCCCTCTCACCCAGCAGGAGCTCAGCGATGGGGGCCCTGGCCAGCCTAGGGCAGGGCCGAGCAGTGCTGCTTGGCCCTGCCCTCGTAGTGTCCTGGGGCCGCCGAGGTTCAGTGGGCGGGCTCAGAGCCCAGCCCACCCGGCCTCCAGCCGCTAACCCGCCCGGATTCCTAGCAGATGCCCCTCCTCAGCTGCCACCTCCTGGAGGGCCACCGCCAGCTGCGCCTGGCCCACCTGGTTCTGAGCGCCGTTACCATGGGCTACGTCTGGCAGGAGCGAGAGAAGCAGCCTGCGGAGGTAAGGGGTGAAGACCTGGAAAGTGGGTGGCTTCTTGCTCTTTTCCTGGATATCAGTTCAAGGAAAGGCGAAGAGCCCATTCATTTACTTATTTTTTAAAACAATGTGTATTTTAAATTATAATTATTCAGTCATGTTAATGTATAGATCAGTGGGTTTCACTAAGACCTTTCGATCCGCGACGATGTCGTGCTTTGATCATATCCACCTACAAGCCTGACTCGTCCTTTCTTCTTTTCTTCCTCCCCTTTCTCCTTTCCTAAAATCCCTCTTCTACTTTGAGATCATCTTTTTCGTTGCTTTTAATGTTTTCACATATGAGAGAAAACATCTGATCTTTATTTTTCTGTGGCTAATTTTGCTTAAACTGATGCCCTCCAGTTCCAACCATTTTCTTGAAAATGACATGATTTCATTCTTTATGGCTGAGTAATAGTCCACTGTGAATATGTATTCCATATTTTCTCTACCCATTCATCCGTTGATGGGGATAGAGGCTGTTCCATACCTTGGCTTGGGGAATAGTAGCACAGTAAGTATGAGTGGACAGGTATCTATTTTGTGTTTTGACTTTATTTCCTTTTGATCATATGATAGTTCTGTTTTTTAGATGTTTAAGGAACTTCCATATTGCTTTCCATAGTGGCTGCACTAAATTACATTCCCACCAACCATGTATATTGCTTCCTTTTTCTGTAATCCCTGCTAGAATTTGTTATTTTTTTTATAATAGCCATTCCGATTTGGGTGGGGTGGAACCTCAATAAAATTTTTGTTTGCATTTCCCTGATGGTTAAAATATTGAGCATTTTTTTCATATATTTATTGGCCATTTGTATCTCTTCTTTTGAGAAGTGTCCGTTCAGCTCATTTGCCTGTTTAGTGAATGAATCCCTTGTAAAAGGCCCATTTCAATGGATTCTTTTCTTTCCCTACTAAGAAGGGCACATTGTCATTTACCACTAGTCATTACTTGCTTAACACTGTTCTCTTCAAAGCCAATTATTAGCCTATCTCTTTATAATCTATTCAAATCGCTTCTGACTCTGTGCAACATTTTACAGGTTCAACCTCCACTTTGGGACATGACTTTCTTGTCTGATCATCCATGGTGTAAATGAAAAATCCTTTCCAATTTCATGAGTGTAGCTTTCTCAGAACTCTCATCCTTGCATACCTTCATCCCAGAACTCTCCAGTTCAGTGAGCAGCCACCCTGTGTCTGCCCATCCTGCCCCTCACCTTGTCACACAGGGCAGGAGGACAGAGCTGAAGCTCACTTACAAACCGTATCTCAGCACAATATTCTGTATGTTCAGATTGTGCTGAAATCTCAGCACAATATTGCATGGAGTCCCCTTCACCATCTACTCCCTAGGGCAGCGGTGGAGTGCATCACTGCATTATTGTGTTTTTCTCTTAAGGCAAAAGATATTAACGTAGAGTTGTTTTTTCTAAACTAAAACCTCAGTATTAGGGTTTAATTGCAGTGTTGGTGCTTTGTATAAGTGGGTTGAGGTTGCAGTTCAGCTGTCACTGCCCTCAGGGGCATTGTCCTGAGTTAGGGGCAGGTGGGTAGGGAGAGGGGTGGGCTCCCAGAAAGGGCTCTTCACTTCATCCTTACTCTGTCCCCTCCCTTGACTCCTCAGCTAAGTGGGCGACTCCCTTCCCCACAACTGTCCCTCCCTTGCCTTTGAGGAAAGCCAACTTTAAATTTTAATTTCAAAACTCTCTAAAGTTCTTTATTGTTTCCTATCCCAAACCATTCTATGCCATATTTATCTAAAAGTTAACATTCAAAAAAGATAGAAATAGAGCTTCTTTCATAGATGTTTCTATCCTAAAGGGAAAGGGATGGGAGGTGAGGAGCAGAAGGGTTTTTTCCCTAACCTACACTCATTTAGCATTTTCCATGTCCAAAAGCCCCCGTGGAGCTGAGCAGCTGTTCCAGGCTCTGTGGTGGCTGCTCAGGAGGACAGCAAGCTCAGCAGCTGAGCCAGGCATGTGGACACGGGTTCTAGACTTCAGGTGTCCTTTGGGTTGAAGGAAACCGGTTGTGTTTCAATGCTGTTAGACCTTGAGGTGTGCACCAGGGATTCACTTCCCAAAGTGCAGGCTGAAATGATGAGAAGTCGGGTGGAGGCAGAAGAGATGAAGGAGGGTGGAGGGGGTCTTCCTCAAAAGTTGTTACTGGGTCTGACTTCTGAAGGGACCGACAGCAGGTAACACACAGGCTGAGTGTCTGTCTTCTTCCTCTCCCTGACTGACACACAAACACACACACACACATGTGTGCACACACACCCCTTAGCTATCTCTCTGTGAGTCTATATCTATCTGGAGAGAGGTTTTCCCTGTGTTTACCTTCTCAGCCCCTGATTTATGCCTGCACAGTTTGGTAATCCTCTTCTTATTCTCACCACTGTGTGCTCACCCACATCACAGCACATCCTCCTACGAAGTACTCCTCCTGGTTGTTGACAGGAAACTGTACAAAGTGCATAAACAGGGATCCCTTAGATAATTCACATTTGGTTCCTGGTCATCTCTCGACCACAGGATTGCTGGGATAAGTGACAATGGCTGCCACCTGTATTTCTAGACTGTACTAATTTTCCAGATTTATATCTCAAAGGTACTGCCAAGAAGCCTTGCCATTCCCATGGTGGAAGTCTCCAAGATCCTGGGGCTCCCACCCATCTTGGCCCACTCTGACCTGGTGCTGACGAACTGGACTAAAAAAGACCCCAAAGGGTAAGAGGGAGCACTTCTAATCTCATCACATGAGGCCCAGCAAAGGACAGGCTCACGATTTCATCTCTCCTTCCACGGAAGGCCCAGGCTTTTCTGGCTATTTATAATTAGCGATGTTCGTATTTATCTCCTTCATGGTTCCAAAGAGACGGTGAACTTGAAAATAAGCTCAATGATCATAAGCCCCACGAGTTTCCTCTCAAGCACTCCTCATACTCGCCCCGGGCCACTGTTTTTCCTTGCCTCACATCACACTTGAATGTATCAAGCTGACTTTCAAATCCCTGCACAATCAGACTGTACTTTTTCTCTCTCATCAAACTGTTTATTTCCTAACGTACCTCCATCCTAGTCAACTTAGGACCAGGTTTGCAGCAAGCGACCATCACATGGAGGTCATAAGTGAATGCTTAAGGGTAAATTAAGAGGAGATGCTTCAGAAAGTTAAGTATCACATGGTTTCTCTTTTATGAGAAACCTAAAATATAAATAAAGAGTAAATTAAAAAAGAGATGGTAGGAACCAGAAAGGAAGACTTAACAGAGATGGGGTAGAGGGTCAGGGAGAGGGAGGAGGTGGGAAGAGAGAGGAGGGGGATTGAAAATGATGAAAGTATGATGTGGCCACATACTGATTCCCCAAATGAATGTGGCTATTTTGGATCACAAACATACACAAATAAAAAATAACAGTGGAAGTCACACCGTGGGCATATGTATCTAGATGTGCTACTGGAACAGTGGCTGCCTAATCCCCGCCCCCCCCCTTCCAGCATCTGCTCTGCTGCCCAGCCCTGTGCTGTGAGAAGTGCCAGCTGCAGGAGGGGCTGAGATACAGATGCTCTGGGAAATCAGTCCCAGTATCCAACTGGTCTTTAAGGCTGCTGCACAGGCACCAGACATGGGTGAAGGAGCCTCAAATGATTCCAACTCAGCCACCATGGAGCAGAGATGAGCATCCCCTGCCACACCTTGTCCAGAAGCCCACAGAATCCACAATCTAATACATGCTCATTGTTTAATGCCAGAAAAGAGAAGAGTAGGTACTTTAGGTGTGGTGCAAAGAGAAGTTGGTTAACAGTGCCATCTGTTCTACTTAGTCTTTTTTGGACAGGTCTCTTAGGAACAGGGGCATTTGTCTGTGGAAGACACAAGATTATAACAAACAAGAAATCCGTTACCCAGGATAGGGTAGGAAAAGTCAAGTGTCAGTTTCTCTTTGTACTTATTGTTCACAGCCAAGTGTATTCTATGCTGGAGATGCAACAGATAACACTCACTTTTGTGAGCATTAAAACAGCCAAAGAGTCACTGAGGTTGGACCAAGGAAGAACTTCCTCAGCATAACAGTTGTGGGTAGCCGTGGTACTGCTGCAGGGGATGACAGGAAGTGACAGTGAAGGGTGAAATGCTTAACAGATACTTTAGCTCTAGGACTAGTTTGTATGCCCTTTGGAAGGGGTGAGATTGGGCCATCTCATCTCTCAGAGGACCTTTGAGCTCTGGATTTTATGTTTCCATAATCATCAATTTTGATATTTAACCAATTATGCTTTAATAACTAAACTGGTGACCAATAAAAGCTATTGAATCTTGGTTAGAATTTAGATGGGATGGACTAATAAATATACACCATTTATTCTGGTCAATACATGGAATATTAAATCAGCTGGATTTGTGATTCAAAGAGGAAGAGAAGAAAAAACAACTGGACTGGGCTAGATAAATCGAAAATATAATAACAGAAAGCTAAAGTCTTAAGAAGTGAGAGTGCAGGGCTGGATTAATAAATCCCAGAATCACAGGCACAGTCCTGGGGCTCCGCAGTTGTTCTTGTAATGACCTTCTGTAGTCTTTTATGGCCTAACCAGAGATTACTGCTATGAAGGAATGAAATAGATAAAAGTAAAGTACACCTAAAGTGGTTAAATAATGAGAAGTGCAGTACACAAAGTACCAACAATAGCAGCAACACTTCCTTCTTTTTTGAAGATGGGATCTTGTTATGTAGTCCAGGCTGGGCTCAAACTTGTGATCCTCCTGACTCTGCCTCCCAAGTTCTGGGATTGCTGGTGATCTTTAGAATTTCAAAAGAATGACATCAATGCAGGCTTTAAAGACTCACAAAAAAAGTATGTTGAGGGCGGCAGAGCTTGATCTAAGGCAACCCTTTAAAGATGAGTAAGAAGAGAAGAAGGAAAATGTGTGGGTTTGGAAATTACAGGAGTATAAGAGAAATAATTCATCATGATAGCCACAGGCCAGTTACTCGGGACGGTAGGTAAGCTGAGATTCAGCTCACTCTGTCACCAGTGGCTCATAGTTCAGTCCCAACTTGTGATACCCAAGGTGTGTGTGGAGAGAGCACCTGGAGCACCTGCATATGCATTTCACATGAGTGCGTGTGACCATAGAGGGTGTGTCTGGTAAATGCACTGACTTTTTCTTCCTTTTTGTTTTTCTCTTTGTGGTTGACAATGAATTGGACCAGACCTCTGGAAATCAGGTAAGTTGCCAGAAATCTTTTGGTCACTTTAGTGTTCATACTAATTTAAAAAACTTATAATAAAATAAAGCAGAAAACATACCAATTTACACATGCAAAATGATATCAACTATATAAAATGTATGAAAAAAGACAAGAAGGAAATGTGCCGAAAATGAAAATTCTGAAAGTTAGCAACAGTTTACTGCCTTGTAGGGATAAGGGAATTGAAAGTCAGGCTGTGTTTTCCAATCTGTACACCATAAAGTAAGTAAAATACAATACAAGGAAACAAATGAAATTTTCATTTCCCCTTTCTCTCCTGCTTAAAATGTTAGAGTCAAAAATAATCCATTGAGTTAACTTTATAGGTTTTTGTAGACTGGATACATCTAAGATACTGGAATCTTTCAAAAGATAATAGATCATTTAAAAACAGTGTCTGTAAAGTCTCCCAGCTCCTGCTCTATGAGACAGCATTTAAAAGTCAGATTAAAAGGAGCATTGGTCCAGTCTCAGAACTACTGGATTCCCCATCTGGTCCTCTGCCTAACTGTAGGGGACAGGGGAAGGGGACGTTACCAGAACCTCTGCAGTTAGTCCTGGTCTCCTGCGAGCCACGGCAGCACACGGCGAATTACAGGAAAGGTAGAAAAATGAGACTGGGAAGAAGCTGAGCTTTGGGTCAGATCAGTGCTGCTCTGGGCAGCAAAGACAAAGCCCGCAGCTTACCACACCTTTTATTCAGTACATCGGGAGAAACAAATGTAACAGATGACTTGCAGAGAGTTCAGTACATCTCTGGCAAACAAGATGTTAATCAGTCCAAGAACAATGAGGAACTGAGCAGATGTTTGTTCTCCCAGGATGTTTCTTGTCCTGGAGAATCACAGCATCACTGGATCACGGAAGTCTCAGTTGTGACCGGAGGCCAAACTGGAGTTATTCTGTAGCTGGGCTGTAGGCAAGAGAACTAGGCTAACCAAATGATTTTCCCCTGGAATTATGTAGCATTGCTCCCAACACCTAACCAGCCACATGACCTTGGGAAAACTTTTGCTTCTGGGGAGAGAGTTTCGCAGCTCTACGCAGCAAAGGTGATCTGTTGCCTCTAATCACTGGAGCTCTGGGGCTCCGTGGCTCCACAGGAAGGCTGTGAACCTGAAGAATCAGCTGCACTTTTCACTAAGGACTGCCCACTGACTGTGTTTCAGCTGATTCTTCCATTGGGGCAATGGTCTAGGTGCGGTGATGGTGAACCTTTTAGAGACCGAGTGCCAAACTGCAACCTAAAGTCCACTAATTGATCGCAAAGTGCCAACACTGCGATCCAACCTGAATACTGAGGTTTTAGTTTAGAAAAAAACAACTATTATCCAGTGCTTGGCTGCTGAGGCAACTTAACTTGTATGCTGACTCTGCTTGCCCACTATGGCACCCATACCATAGGTTTGCCACCACTGTCTAGGACTGTCAGGGCCATGCTGGCCTTGTGGGGTCCTCAGGCGAGGTGAGTTGGGTTCCCTCCCTGAGTACCGCTAGAGGTGCGCACTCCCCTCAGGGCTGCCCTGGGGAGGAAGGGGTCCCAGACTCCCCTTGCCCCTATCTGACTCAGTGGGAACTGTGGACAGACTCAGTCTGTCTGGCAGTCTGACAGTGTGACCATCTCCTTTCCAAGCAACCTGGAGACCATTGTGTCACTTCCTGGGGGAGAAAGCCTGCGTGGCTTCGTGCTGGTGACAGTTCTGGTGGAAAAAGCAGCAGTGCCTGGAATTAAGGTATCTTCTCGTTGACAGTACTTTGTCTTCCTTCTAAATGAGAAGTCAGTCTGAGCTCTCTTTCCCTTCCAGTTCTTGCCCTTGCAGCACATGGACATAGGTCTTGTCCAACTTAGTGCAAGTCTGAATTCAACTCACAGTGAAAGCTCCCTTCCTGCTATAAATCTTCGAGCAGAACATATCTCCATTCACCAATGACCTTGCTCTAGGAATGGGAAATCAGGGCACACAAGACAAATTGTCCAAGCCTAGAGGCTCATGATCTAATGGAGGGAAATGAATTAATGTAAGGTAAAGGCAAGAAAAATGCAGCATTTCACAAAATGACAGGTAAAACTTAACCTGGACTTGAAGGGTCAAAGACTCCCCAGAGAAACAACAGCTAAGTTAACACCTGAGTGATACACAGGCAGGAGAAAGGGAGGGGTAGAGAAGAGGGAGAGGGGAGGCTGAGATTTCTGCCAGAGAAAACTGCTCTGCGCAAGTTTGGAGGAAAATAAAATGGAAAACATTTAGCACTAGAAGGCATCATTGAGATGATGCAGCCCTAGGGCTTGTGATCCCAAATTTTTCTAGGAATTGTCCAGGTACCAGACAGGTCAGATATAAAACAAGAATCTGGAGTGGCCTGTGACCAGCTTTGCCTGAAGATACTGACTCCAGGTTTATGCCTTTCTTTAGTACTTTCTTGGTGAGCATGTACTGAATGCCCGCTATGTCCTCATCAAGGCAACCAGTCCCTCACCATCAGGGTAGCATGTTCTTCAGTCTCTACGTGAAACCAGGGGCTGGAGTGAGTGCTCAGCATGTCCAACCGCCAGCACCCTAACCACCCCAAAACTGAACTGTACAGCTTCTTTAGCTCCCCTCCCTGTGTCTAACCCCCAGAGGTGCAGAATCAAATCCTTCTCAGTGCAGTTCAGTGCAGGGACTGCGGGGAAACGAAGCTTCGTTGCAGAGGAGGCTGTGGGGCTGGGGATCTTTTAAGGAGTGCGGTTGCCCTAGTTGGAGATGCAAACGTAGAAATGGTCATATAACGTGTGATAAATCCAGAAAAAAGGATGGAGAAGTATGATAATCTTCATTCGGGGCCTTGAGCAGTACAGGAAGTAGCAGCAAGTGAAAGCCAGCGGCCGCCCTCTCTAGGGTCCAGCCCCCCAGGTCTGAGGGGGTAATGATTCTATCCCCAGGCCCTAGCTCAAGCGATCAGTGCCATCCTGCAGTCCAACGAGGACACCCTGCTCAAAGCTCTGCAGCGCCTGAGACTCTCCATCCAGGACATCACCAGGACCTTGGGACAAATGCACGGTGCGTCACTCAGGAAAGACCGGTTTCAAAAGGGCTCAGTTTGGGGGAGGAGGGCTGGAGCCCGGCTGCCTCCTGAGTGGATGATGATATGTTTGTCCACTAGATGGCAGGAGTGTATCACCTTTGATTTAAGGTAAACTTGCCGTTCAGGCTGTCAGAATGCTCTAGGTCTGTGGAGATATTTTGGCAATTTGCCTTTCTTTGTGTTTTGCTGTGATTCAGACCGTTTCCAGTCTTGGGGAAGACATGTCTTTGGAGTGTCGCGGTCTTGTTGAAGTTGGGAGGAGGGGCCAGGCTAACCCTATCACGGTGATCCTGAGAGCTGCAGGCAGGGACACCCAGAGGAATCCTCTTTACTCCCTCCAGTGTCTCTTGTATTTTTTTCTCTCTTTGGGTTCCCGACAGGACTGACCTTGGCTTCCCGTGGCTAGGCAGACAGAAGCTGTCACAGTAGTGGTCAGTTAAACGGTCACCTCTTATTCTGGTTTTGACATTCAGTGTCCAGTGTCAGGCAGGCTCCTCAACGACCTCTATCAGAGAAATCTACAAACCATACCGGTTTTTAAGGAAGGTTTGGATGAGGGGTGAGACTCATTAGCAAGAGAACAATAAGTCTCAGCATCCCTTTCCTGAATTCTGCTCCACTGAAAGGAGAGAGATTCCAAGAAAGCGAACCTTCACGGGAAGCAGGATAGGAGAGAGGAGGCCAGAGAGCAGGTGGTGGGGGGATTTGTGTATTGGTCATCCCAGACTCTGCACTAGGGGAAATCCACCCAAAGTCCACGGGTTGCCTGTCATTTCCAGTTGACTTCCCTGCGTTACAGTTTACATTCCCAATTTCTCCGTTTTCTTTCATTTTAGCCTAAAGTTCCTCATGGTCACCTCAGTAGCGATCTTGCCCCAGGAGATTTATTTCAGCTGTTCCAAGACACCCTGACTTCACTACTCAGGACAAGATAATTGGAGACAGAGTGCAGGTGACAGGATCCTGAAGTGAGCACTTGTGCACAGTTTCTGGAGGTTATGAAGACTTTCCACCCTGAGTGGTGCAGAAAGTTGGCACACCTAGTGTTAGAGTGGTGTAGGCTTCCCAGTTGTCATTTCCAGGTCACACTGCAAGCTCAGACCAACTCTTCTTGCTGTCTTGATCGTCCTTTACAGAAGGTCTGATGGCCTGAGGAGGTCCCAGGGACACCTTCTTGTTTTCCCCCAAAGGTTAATTTTCCACACAGACATGCTCTGTGGAAAAGGTTTTTACTACCAGTCATGCTCATTTATATGGTAACAAGGTGGATATATCTGCATTTTCTAAAGACAGCCAAAGCATTCTTCCCTGTCATTCCATGAACTCCTAAGCAATGTATCTGGACACCCCGTGCACATCCTGGGTGAAATTTGGGTCCCTGCTTGTGACAGGAAGCAGTATGTGATTTCTGAGGCAAGGTTAGACATGAGGCAGCTTCTACCTTGTATGCTGAGACACCACAAAAAATGTCCTCCAGACAACCATGCTGTGAGACAGAAAGGTCAAGCAGAGGTTGCAAGAGTACACGAGGCTCCAAGATCAGGTTGCCCTCAGCATCAAGGCCTTTGCAGCTCATGCCTCAGACTGTATGGAGCAGAGATGAGCCACCACCACCCTGCCCTGTGTCCTGACCTACAAAGCACTGGGCCATTGAGATGGGAGGGGCTTGTTAGGTTGCAATAGTGACCACAAACTCAGGTCATAAAATAAATTAAAACAAACACTAGAAGCTACCAGGCTTGAGGAACCATACACATTTTCTCAGCATTGTTTCTGTTTATAGTTGTTAACTTTCCTCTCCATGATATAGAGCTTGACTAGACTTCCTCCCTCTGCTTTCAATCCCCCAAAAAGAGCTAATCAAACAATTGCTTCTTTCAGAAATGAGCTTCAGAAGCCCCCTGCACCCTACATCTTTCCTCCATAAAGATTTCCTTTCCAGGCTGCAGCCTGCTGAGGCCTGGACAGACAGAAAGTACCCTCCAGAGACCCAATTGACACTCAGAGAATTACTGTTCTACAACCTAGCTTTCTCTGCCCAGCTCTACTGTTTTAACAGCACTCACTACTGACATAGAAACCAGACTACTCTATTTTCAGAATTTGGCTCACCGTAAGACAGAGGTACATAAGAGCACTAAAAATAATGCACATTTATCTCACCATTGCCTATCTACAGGGTCTGCATCTGCCTCTTTTGAGTGCTTTACATAGTGATCAACTAGGTATAACTGTTGCTGTGATATCTTTCGATTCTCAAGCATTTGGATTATTTATAGACATATTTTGGTACATTTATTGATGGCTCCTCTAAAAGTTCATTTTTTCTTGGAGAGATTGAATGATATTTTTCCCTCCAAAAAACCCTTGAACAATTTTCCCTTTATTTCCTTCTGAGTCAATAGAATTTCTGGCTTCTGCTTAATCCATTGGCAGCTTTCAGAATTTTCCCTTTTAATAGTAATGAGAAGTCAAAATGTTTCCTTCTAACAATTTGGTTAAGCGTTTCATCTAGATTTTCTAAAGAGTAAATTGGGGCTAAACAGTAGTGTGAACTTCTGTTGACATTTAATTTTGATTCATTCACTCAATTTTATCAAAGAAATTTTCCCTTTTAGTTTATGAACTTATGTTTAAATCATATTGGAAAAATAATTAGCATTGGAATTCTCTGTTAAATTCCATAAAAATCATGTTAACGTTTCTAAAATGTGTCTTCCCTCACGGATTAGCTACATATGGTAATCTGAATATATCCAAGCCATTTTAGGCCTCCATCTTAAATCCAGTTTTCACATAAGTCCAATGTTGTCATGTTCATGGATTGATTCTGAAAATGTACACCCATGTGCACCTACAATTTTCAAACAAACTAATTTTCAACAAAACATTGAAGATTTTTGTAAACCTTTTACAGATGACTTCTTAGGAATCTAAGAACTTAAATTACAACAAAGCTATCTAAAACTACCATGATTATCATAATTTCATGTGGTTACAGTTAATTTTAATTTGATTATGTATTTTCAACCTTCTTTGTACATATTTCTTTTGCCTGAAAGACATCCTTTAGGATTTCTGATAGTGAGCTAGTGGTAAACTCTGTCATCTAAAAATTACCCTTCTGCCAGGCCTGGTGGCACACGCCTATAATCTCATCACTTGGGAAGCTGAGACAGGAGGATTTCTGTGAGTTTGAAGCCAGCCTGGGCTACATAGTGAGTACAAGGCCAGCCTGAACTACATAGCGAGACCCTGCCTCAAAAAAAAAATACCTTATTTTACTCCAATATGAGAAAGATAGTTTAGCTAGCAACTATATTCTTTTAGATGTTCAATATAGCAACACAATGATTTTTGGCTTCCATTGTCACTGTCAAGGCATTCATCTTTCCTTCTGAATACTTGTAGGAACTTTTCTGTGTCTATCTGACTGCCTTGGTGATTTCTTTTCTCTTCTTGTGTTTTATTTTGGTCACAGTGGCTTGTGCATTCAAAATTCCTCACCGTATGACATCATAATGGAGCCAAGGCCATGTACTTTCCTTGGTAGGACAGCAGGGAACATCACACAACGTAAATACACTGCAGGTGTGTGGTTCTATGCATTGACTGAAAACAAAGATTTTCTGGGCTTTGCCTTGTTTAAAAGCCACTTCCCAGTGCAAAACTTACACATCTACTCCTAAAAAGTTAAAAAAACAACAATTTTCTTATCCTTTCCAAACAAAATTATAATAATGCTTATCACATAAAAAGCTTGATGAGGTGTGTATAAATTAATCACCAGTAGACATTATTTTTCCCTTGAGCTTTGCTAGGGTTTGAAGGACAGAGGCACTTGACCAATATGCTTGGTGCTTTGCGGAACAACGGAAGCCTCAGGAGGTCTTCACCCAGGCACTCACAGACCTAGGTGTGGCCATGCCTGCAGAAACTTAACTTGGCACCCTTTCTGCATTCTATACAGAGGTCACAGACAGCTCAACCATGTCTGTGTTGAGATCCTCTGTGTCGCCTGCAGGATAATGGCCCTGCTATTGAGACCCGCACTTCTTAGCCAAATCGGACAGGCTGAAACCAAAAGCCAAAGTTCTGGCCGCCAGCAGTGCCACGTTAGTGGAGGGAGGAGCCATCTGCCTGAGGGCTGCTGTAGTGTTCAGACTGAGCCCACAAGCTGTCCTTCCCAGTGTGCTTGAAATACAGCTTTCCCAGATAAATCAGCTGGGGATAATGAAAAGGTCACTGGATCCCCAGGCAGATCTGAACCTAACAGCCACATAACCACCCTTCTTTTTTTCTTAAATAAAATATTTATAATGTATAAACAAAACAGAACACGTAAGTTGAGGATACAGAATAATAGTGAAATAGACACCCTCACGTCCAGTTTCCAACCAAGGGAATGGACTACTACCAAAAACTTTGCAACCTTCTTGTGTTTCTTTTCTGCTTTACTCTCCAAAACATATTTTCTTTTGGTCACTATCTTGATTATTATATTACTCATTCTCTTTTATTTTTGTACGCTTTCACTGATTAAGAAAGGATCACTTATTTTGTTTTATATGTTTTTAATTCTATATGAAAGGAAGTAAAATGTATATTTTCTTCTTGCAACCTATTTAACTAAGGGCCATGATGGTTTTTATATATATATATATATATATATATATGTATGTATATGTATATATATTTTGGTTTCTTTGCGGTGATGCATCTTTTTATATAAATATATTATACATTATATATTTTCTCAGTTGTTTTTGGTTTTATTGTGTTTGTTTGTTTGTCTTGGATTTGCTTGCTTGTCTTGTTATTAAAAGCAAGGCCACCACACATTTTCTTGTCCATAGCTCCTGTGTATATATATGACGACTGTGCCAGGTAGAGGCCAAGGAGTTGAATTTCTCAGTGAAAAGGTGTGTGTATCTTCAACTTTACTAGCTAGCACTGGATCGTCCTCAACATGCTTACGCTAAGTTGAAATCTTATTTCACCAACATCTAATATTGTCAGCTCTATTCATTTACTAATTCATTCATTTACTTGATTATTTATTGCCAGTCTGGTAGGAGTAAAGTAGTGTTTAATCATGGTTCTATTGGTATTTTTCTCATTTCTAAAGTGGCAGCTCTCTTCTCTCTCCATCTCTCTCAGTCTCTGCATCCCCAGTTCATGTGTGTGTGTGTGTCGGGGGTGTATGTGTGGTGTGGTGTGTGTATGTGTGAGTGTGAGTGTATCTATATAAGCAATTACTCACTACTCACGTCCATTTTCTGTAAGATGCATGTCTTTCCTGTTTTGTACTACTTTTTATTTATTGATTTTTGATACACTCTGGAGACTGATTTTTGTTATATGTACTATAAACGTTGGGGTTTGTCTCATGCTTTTTGTAAGCAGAAGTTCTTAATTTAAATGTATTCAAAATATCAGTCATTTATAGAAGTGCTTGTTTTAAGAGTTCTTACATAAAGTATTATTACATAAGCATGGGTCATACATATATTTCCCCATATTTTCAAATTGTTCTTTGGCCTTTAATGTTTAAGTTCTTTATTCACATGTAATTATTATCTGTATATAATATGAGATAGGAAATAAATCCAGCTTCTTTTCTGTTGAAACACTAATCTACAAGGTTAGCATAGTTTTATATCAGATTTTCTGAAATGAGTGGGTCCTTTCTATTCTGTTCTCTATTCTGGTTTATTGCCTGCTTGTCTTTCCCTGCTCTGATACCATCTGCCTCTTGCACTGTAGCTCCACATAATTCCTCATTTCAGGGTAGATCAAACCCTGCATGGCTCTCCTTAGGCACCCCTAGCATCAGCTCAGCAAGTGTCTCTGGAATAGTCACTGTTGGGAATTTTGCTCAGGTTGCATGAAATATGCACATTAATTTGGACACGGGCAAAATGGTTTTAATGTTATATCAAATCTTTGTATCTTATGAATAGTGCAGATGGAGAGGCAAAGCATATCATGAAATATTAGCAGAGGTCCCTGGATGAATTACTCCCATTTCTTCATAGTTCTGAGTATTTGTCATATGGCCTGAAATACCAGATAGAGAACTCTTCTCTTTAGTACATTTCTTCTCTTAGATATTGAGTTTTCTTGTCCATGAAAATAAGATATAAAAGCACATCTTTTTCATTTACTATTTTTTCTTTAATTTCTTTCAAGGTAAGTGACTTACCTATCTTTTGCATTATTCATAGTTACATGGTACTCTTGTTTTTAGTGAATATATATCTTTTTACTTAACTATTTCCTGATTTTTAGAATAAAATTGACATTTGAACATTAACCTTGAATGTAGCATTATAGTAATTATCTGAAGATTCTATGGGTTTTCTGTATAAAAATCATATCGTTTGAAAATGTTTCCTTTCTTCACTGGTAATACTTATAAATTTTATTTCTTAAATATTTATTTCTTATCCCCTGGCTGTAAACTACATGTAACACAGTACTCACTGGAAATGTTGATTCTTGTACAGTTTTAGACTTGAATTGGTTTTAACATTTTACCATTAAATATAATATGTATTCTAGGCTTTCAATGATTTCCTTCTACAGTTTAAAGATGTTTTCTACTATTCCTAATTATCTCAAGTTTTTAGTTGACTGAGAGTTTTTAGTTTTAATCATGAACAAATTTTTAAACATCTATTGAAATTATTTTACATCAAAAATAGGTTACATCTATTGAAATGATCATTTGACTTCTCTTTCAACATGTTAAATTGAATAAAATGCTAAGTTATTGTTAGCCATTACCTTTTCAATAAAATCTTGCATATAGTACTTAGGAATTTGAGTGGGAACAGAGCAGCACAAGGGAAAAAGCTGGAAGTAGGGCCCAGAGACAAATCTAGCACATGGGGCATTGCCACCTCTGAGGAAAGATGGTGCCATCCCTAAGGAGAATTTGGAAGCCTCAAAGTTGAAGGAAGACATGAGACACTGGACCAGGAGAGGTTGTAAGAAAACAGAGGGAAGATGAAGAGATGAGGGACCAGAGAGCGGTGCAAGAGCAGAAAAATGGAAATGGTGGTAGGTAAGCCCTCTTTCAAAAGATGTTTCTTTTCCCCTCAGAAGGAAAAAGGCATCGACAGGAGTCTGGATAAAGTAAACATGTACCAGGTCACAGAAGTCAGATGAGCCCCATTATGTGAAAAGGAGAAAGAACAACCTTCCAAAGTTGATGGAAAAAAATTTAGTACAAATACAAGAGCATGATCTTTTCCATACAAGTTAATAACCTATTATTAGTGGGATCCATTATCTCTATGCATTGGCACAAACTCTTAATGAGCTGGATGGACTCGAAAATGAAGCTTAGAAATAAATGGAGCTGCACTGATCTGGGGTGGCAGTCCCTGGCAAGGGCCACGTCAGTCCTGGGGCCCCCGTTGACTACAGACACTTAAGCACTGGTGAATTTGGTTTTCCTCTTTGTGATAGCACTGGTAGAGAAGATTTTCTCTGCTTTTCCTTTTTCCACTTCCCAGATTCTCTTACATATTATATTAGCTTAAAATATTAATTTTTTAAAGATTGCTTTGATCTCTTTTTTGTTGTGGTGGTGGAGCACAGAAAAAGGAAATGCCATAAATATTAAAGGCCAGCATATGGAATAGATTAAAAGTTCTCCAAGGGCCAGTGAAGGGACCAGAGAAGGGAACATTCCATCTGTGTCTTGCTGTTACTTCCATTCTGGTCTCCATGCAGATCAGATAGAGGAAGCAGCCCCAGGAGAGCAGCAGGGCCCATGCACATGGAACCAATTGCTCTTTTCGCTTCTAGTAAAGTTCACATTTTGATTGGTTTTCCAGATTATGTAGACCCAGACATATTTTATGCAGTCATCCGGATATTTCTCTCTGGGTAAGTTCAATTGTTTTCCTTCAATTGCTTCTGTTGCATTTTCCAAATTTATGAGAGGAGAAACAGACAGAACCTTCTTAGAGTATGAAACACACCAAGTGACCTTTGCTAGCAAAGTAATTACCTGGATCCACGGTTAGATGAAAGGGGACCTCCATCTGCATGACAAATGACATTAAGGACTGAATATTTATGTCCTGAGAGGTTGTCTTTGGGCCATCACGTTAGAGCCACTTGTATTCAAGCTTCTTAGTCTCCTGCTTCGATGACAGGCCCATATGCTGCCCACAGAGCTCTGGCACCCATGTCCAGTCTCTTCCCTTGCTATTTAGGTAGGGAGAGGGGGAGATGGCAGTGTACATATATTCTTTTAAAATTCCTAAAGAACCACTTGCTATGGTTCGAATGCATGTGTTCCTCCTATATCACTGTGCTTATAGAATGGCTGAGAGGGCTAGGGATGTGGCTCAAAGTACAATGCCTCCCTAGTAAGAGTGCGGCCCTGCTTCTGATCTCCAGGACTGAAAAAAAGTGCGGAAGAGAAAAAGCTTGGCCCTGTTTTTGCCCATTCACCTTCTCCCCTCCCTACCCGGTTCTCTCCATGAGGACACAGCATCTGAGGAGCTCTCCGTCAGCAGCAACTGGGTCCTCACCACACTCAACCTGCCAATGCCTTAGTCTTGGACTTCCTGCTCCCAGAACTGTGGGGAGAGGATTTCTATTACTCACAAATTACCTAGTCTCTGGAACAAACTACAACACTACCCCAGACAATTTTTTAATATATCTTGATACTGTTCTTCTGTCACATAGCTAGAAATTTCTCTAGATAGAAAATTCTACTGTACCTCTAGAAGACACAGTTCTTGTCCTAAACACAGTAGTCACTCATATCTTGATATTTTAAAATCATATTGCCTTCCTATTCACACTGAGAGAAATTAAGTGATTTTATAAAATAATATTTATGTGGCAGAAAGGGAAAATTTCAGGCATTGGGCAGATAATGTGAAATAGATATCATCTAGTACTATGTGTTTGCAACTGGGAGATGCCTGAAGAATAATCAATAGAAAGAATCTGAGCTGTGCCTAGAAACAGCAAGAGGCACATGAAATGCTGAAATCTGTTGCTGATATATTACACTTGTGTAAAAATGAAGTAGAAACATGTGCAAGGTATTCTCTCTAGATTAGGTAGATCTTTAAATGGAGCTCAGTTTGGGTGGGGAATCTTCCATGGAGGGTTCAAAGAGGGAAAGCAAGAAGGTTTCTAGAGCAACTTGTGAGTAATGAGTATGTGACTCATGGAAGAAAAAGAAAAACAAGATGGGTGTTGTGGCTTGCATATGAAAGATCCCCCGAAGGCCATATGAAGGCTTGGTCACCAGCCTGTGAGTCTGTTGAGAGGTGCAGGAACCTTTGGCAGGTGGGGGAACCTTTATGAGCTAGGGTCTGTGAGAGGAAGTGTGGTAATTAGGGGAGCACCCGCCAAGGAAACAGAGGCACCCCTTCCCCTTCCTATTTTGCTTTGCTTCCTGGCTGCCCTGAGGTAAGCAGCACTGTTCCACGATAAAAAAGTGTCATTGTCTTGAGACTAGGGATTGAAACTTCTGCAGCTGTGAGCCAAAACCAACCTTTCATTCCCATAAGTTGATTATCTCTGGTAATTTTTACAGTGATAGGAAACTGACCATCACAGGTGGGAAACATGCACAACGGAACAGAGAGTGTCTCAGAATTTAGGCTTTCCCATGTATCCATTTGGCAGGATTAGGTATAAGAAAAACAAAGGCTTTTTTGTTAAGCTTATGGGACCATGCAGGAAATTCACACTAACTACAGAAATTGACTAGGATTTAGGAAGCACGTAATCCTGGAAAAACCCTTTGTGTTCCACTCTGGTCTCAAAATCTGAATTTGTTTTCCATGGTTGCATAACAAATTATCACAGACTTAGTGGCTTTAAACAATGTGTGTTTCTTATCTCCCAGGTCTGCTGGTCTGAATTCCAGGCAGACTCAGTTGAGTTCTCTGCTTAGGATCTTGGAAGGCTATATATCAGGCTGGCTTCCTCACTGAGGATCTGGACAAAGATTTGCTTCCAGTCTCATTGAGATCGCTGCCAGAATCCAATATTTTGTTGTCCTAAAACTGATACTTCTGTTTCCTTGCAGACTGTCAGACAGGATCTGCTCTCAGCTTCTAGAGGTGTCCTGTACCCCTGATGTGCCTCACTCCGCCTCAACGTGGCACTTTGACTCCTTCTAGTACTTTGAATCTTTCTGACTTCTCCTTCTGCCCCTTGCCAGCAAAAGCACTCTGCTTTTAATGGTCCTGTGGGATGAGATTCAGCTCACCTAAATAATGCACAGCAACTCTCTACATTAAGGTTGACTGATCAGTGTCCTTAATTTCATCTGTAAAGTCCCTTTCCCCTTGCCATGTAATATATCGTACTGACAGTGTCAGCTCATAATATTAACTATCCCAGGAATTAGGATAGGAATCTGGGGGAACATTTTTAGGATTCTACCCATCATAGTGCCTTTCAAGGATGTAAATTAATTCTACTACTTTTTTATGTCAAAGGTATCTGATAAGGACGAACTACATATTCTCAAATCCTCATGATTAACTGCATACCAGTAGTAACTTTGTTTGCATTAAAATAAGTTCAGGGTCAATGTTGCATTTTATCTGTAATCTACATAAATGCCTGGCTTATTTCAAATCCTTAAAATAGTTCCTATACTGCTAAGTGGCCAGTACCAAATCCTTAAAGTGTTGATAAATATAAAGGGTCAAAAACATTGGATGGTTGAGAATTTCCAACTGAAAAATGTACATTGGCTCTTTCGTTCATGATTTGTCCCATGTTTATTATTTTTTGTATACTTCTTTAAATACATTTGATGTAAGAGAGTTGAGAGACTTCATCTGTAAATGAAACATTCTTTTCATTTCTACTCACATCAGGTTTCTCAGGAAAGTTATAAGCCCCCATGTCATCTCATTTTCTTTTTTCTGTTGAAAATTCTACTTTTCATGAGGTTTCTAGAATTACACAAACAAGAAAGTCTGAAAATAACCTTGACTGTAGAGATTCAAAAGGAAAGAAGTTCCTGCCTGCCATGAGCAGTGGTTTCAGCCTGCAAGTGCCTGGGAGTGATTCTGGGGTCTCTCAGAGAAATCCAACTTCCCCTCCACAAACTCATCTCATGCTAGCTGGAGAAGAGAGATTTTGAAATTAGATGTGCTTATCTTTAGACTTCCATGCAGGTGTTTCCTGTCACCTGCAGGGTGGACCAACATGGCCTCTCCTGTTTGTGGCACTAAAAGGAGAAGAGTTAATGGCTCTTGGCAATTTGAGATGCCTGCCAAGCCCTTTCAAGAAATACATTTGTGTTTATATATTCCGGGTGTATCATGCAGAGTTATCAAGTGCTTTTTATCCTTCATCCATTCATCAAATATTTAGTGAGTGCTTCTGTGTGCCAGGCACAGTTGTCGTTTTGGGAATAGAGCAGTGAAATAAAACAGCTTCGTCTGTGGTATTTATGATTTAGAAATGAGGAGGAGATAATGAATAAATAAACAAGTTTAATAAAATGACATCATGCAATATGTGTTACAACAACAGGCGATATGGGGAATTGTAAACCAGGCTGCAGGACCTTAGGGAGGGAGTGTGAGGTGCAGTGATTGACATTTCTTAGTGTTTCTTGTTTTCCAGCAGTGCCACATTGTGACATTTGAGTGGATACTTGAACGAATCAAGAGTCAGCCACCTAGATTCCAGTCCCAAGTGAAAGGAAAGGTAGTAGCGATGTCCTTGAGGTGGGAGCATGCTTATCCTGAGGGAAGATCTGCAAGGTTGGACTGGTGAGGAAGAAAGAGAAAGACTCAGGAGGTAGAGACCAGACCTTGTAACAGTGTATTCGCCTCCTTTGAGAGAGAGGGACAACATGGCAAGCAGTGAGAAAAATAAGAACAGGATCTATCCTTAGTATCAAATCATCACTGTATTTGTGGAGTAGAAATAGACTATTTGAGAATACAGGTGGAAACAAGGAAAGTATTTGAGAAGCCACTGTTGTGATTCATGTTGATGGCTGCAACAAGGGTGGCAGTAATGAAGGTATTGAGAAACGGTCATATTCTGCCTAGACAGATAGACAGAGATAGAGATATATGTTAATGTTGACTGCATTTGCTATTTGGGTTGCATATGGAATTGAAGATAAAGAGATTAGTCAAAATGGCCAAGGTTTTTTGGCCCGATGCACTGAAAGAATTCAATTTGTGATTTATTTGGTTGGGAAAACTCCAGAAGAAACACGTTTTCAAAGGGAGAGGAGTGTGGCAGGTCAATTTGGGGAATGTCCATTCTATGGGTCTATCAAACGTGTGGTTGGACAGCTGAGTCTAGGGTTTAGGGGACAAGTACAGCTCAACACATAAATTTGCAAATACAATAGTGTTAGTCTTTAAGAGACTAGGCAAAATCACTTGGAAATGAGAGTAATGAGGAGCCCAGGGATTGACCTGTGAGAGTTCAACATTCAGTAGGGTCCAGATTAGGAAGGAAGCAGTGAAGGGGAACAAAATGATCATAGATCATCAAACAGAGCACAGAGAATTATCCAGGCAAGGGTGCCTGTGTTGAGTCCATTCATCAGCAAGTTGCTGTCGTGTCTTCATTTCTTCCCCATAAAATATTGCTCAGCAATTTGTTAAACCAAGGACTTGACATTTCAAAAGTCACAAAAACTTTTCTGGTTCTCATTTAATTCTCCTAACAATTATAGGAAGCTGATAAATATTTGGGGAAATGAGACCAGTGGGATTTGTATACAGTTACTAAATAATAGAAGCGAAAGCAGGGATCCCATCTCACTCTGAATAATACCACAATATAGGCCAATAGTTATCTAATGCATAAGATGTCCCAGGCCCTAGACAAGTGTTATTTTAATCAATGATGACCTAATACTAGCTATGGAAAAGTGATACTAATATTACTCAGATGAGGAAACTGAGGCACAGAAATGTTAATTAAGCTAAGGCTTATAGTTAACAAATGGCAAAGTTAAGGTTAAGTTCCATGACTTCCTAGAATAGAGTCCTCTGTCCTAATAGGACAGCCTGTACATGCTGTTTGACCCTTCTCTTGAGCAAAGTGACTTTTAGAATTATAGGAAGGAGGCAAAAAATCAATGTACAAATAAATTTGAAAGATTAACTGTCCAAATAGGGAAGGTAGCTTATTCTCAGCAATAGGAGAAAAAGATTCTTTTTTCTAGTAAAAATATAAATTTAAATAACGGGTTCTTAGGGAAATGAAATTGGGAAATGGAGGATTACAAGTGTGGAGTTCAAGTTCTGGTTCCATCGTTCTAACAATGTGATCCTGGAAACTTCATTCTTTTGAGTCTTTGTTTCTTCAACTATAAAGTGAGTTTTAAAAATATCTGCAGTGGTCTACTCACCAAAGGTCAATTGGGAAAATGAACAGGAAGGTGCTTTATAAGTGGGAAAGCGTGGAGTGCAGATGTGATGATCTCTTGTTCCTGCTGGTCCTGCGGAATCACCAGGCACACTCATAACTGCCCAGGACTCTGGCAAACCAGATGTAGGGAAAAACTGAGATACAAGGAAGTAGAAAGAGGGGAGGTGGAGAAAACAGTAAGGGAGGAGAGGGAGGTGGAGGGGAGGACTACTGCGCCCAGGCCCCGTCCTGCGGTGGGACTCTGACTTTGGCCTCTGGTAAGCTGCAGGGTAGGGCTGTGCTCTCCTTGTTGCCACCCCTAGTTATCAATATCTATGATAGCAGAGTATCTGAGAAAGGCATTCTCTTGAGAGCCAGTAATATCTAGGTCTGAGAGCTTCATGCAACAAATCCTACTGTAATCATTTTAGGGAGAGCAAAGAAATGTGTGTGTGTGTGTGTGTGTGTGTGTGTATACTTGTGACATTGTATTTGTAGAGTCACAGACATGAAATCATTGAGACTGAGATTAGTAGAGGAAGTGAAGAATTTTCCAAGGCCACTAAATTGTTCTGTTGATTATCACTGATGACAACATTATAACTCAGCTTTCTCAATAAATATGACAAAGATTCCTCCCTAAATAGCCTTTGCTTCTCTGGAAGAATCTTTTACATGGGGAAGGGAAAGACTGCAATTTTATGACATGTTGTGAAGCTGAGGTCAAGATGATACTTCTGTACTCACCCTACAAAGATGTCCAATCCTTTGCCCTGAAACTACCACTGAAATCAGGGTCCCCTCCTCGCTTGTTTCCGTATCAGAAATCACACTATTCCCTCCCAGTGCCTGCTTCTTCCCTTTGGTCTTTGTTCCTGCACAGATGGAGCGATAACCCAGCGATGCCCAAGGGCCTGATGTATGAGGGAGTCTCCACGGAGCCGCTGAAGTGCTCTGGGGGGAGCGCTGCTCAGAGCACAGTGCTTCATGCCTTCGACGAGTTCTTGGGTGTTTGTCATAGCGAGGAAAGTGGTGAGCCAGATGTGCTTTTTTTTTTCTGAAGAGGAAAGTGAGGGAAAACAAAGAGGTGGTTTTACCCAATTGATGAAGCTGAGTATAAATTAAAAGTCATGAAGTCTATAGTTTCCCAAATCAACCAGGAAACTGCCTGGCACCTGTTATTTTGTCAAATCAATGAATATCAGAGTATCACATCTCAGCAGGATCTTGGGTTTCATTTCCAAATCTTCAAACACTGCTATAATTCCAGCTGTTCTTTGTAATGTTGGTTTGGATCCTTAGGCAGTCTCTTCCATTTCTGAGAGGGAGGAGAGAGCTAGAGTTTTAAGCTATGTCATTTCGTGGCTCGGTGTGGAGCTGGCCTGTAAAGGGTCTGAGCTCCTCCACTGAGCCCTTCCCCTGAAATGGCCATTTCCAGCTAACTACATCTGAACTGGAAGTAGAGGGATTATCATTTCAGGCTTGAAATCGCTCATTTCCTTACCTGCCAGCAACAAACTACATGCTTAACAGCTGCAAAAAGACACTTCTTAACTATAAAGTTTTCAAGTTGGATTAGAAAAAAATGACTAGAACTTAGTAGCATGGAGGCTAGTGTCACTCATAAAAGTCAATTCATGAGACCTGCTATAATTTTTCATGGCTTTGAGTATTTGGAGATATTATTCATTGATTTACTACATATAATACTAAATATATAATTAATCACCGAAAGTATCTATTGATTTGATTTGATTTTTTTTTCAGTACTGGGGATTGAACCTATGCTGTTGCTCATGCCAGGGAAGGTCTCTAACACTGAGTTACATCCCCCAGCTCTCTACTTGATTTTTAAATAATTTAGCTTCAAGTTAAGTTATTCTCAACTCATCCTTTATCTTTCTGTCCATATATAGACTTTATTTTTTTTCTTACTTAGCATTTCCTTCAGGGAAACAAAAAAAACACTTATGAAACAAAATTCTTCCGAGTATTTAGCTAATCAGTTTAAGAGTCTGTATCCTACACTTTTAATTATCTTTCACAATAGCTAGAAACTGGATATGATAGAGCTAATTTTGACTCAGTTACCTGAGATGTGCTTACTTGTTTTTCTCTTTCCTATCTCCTGTCTACAGTCAGAGACACACATTTAAGTATTTGATGTCTACAAGCCAAAGAGTCAACCAATAGATTGAGTTAAGAACCCACCCACAGTTCCTGGTATTCGAGAGCAGGCAAGTTTTGCTGTGTTCTGGGTGGGTGCATCTAAGATGATCCCATGGTTGGTCTCTTTCAGCTGATTTTCTGTGCAGAATGAGGGACTACATGCCTCCCTCACATAAGGCCTTCATAGAGGAAATCCACTCAGCTCCTTCACTGAGGGATCACATCCTGGACCGTGGCCAAGCCTGCTGTTTGGAAGCTTATAACCTGTGTCTGGAGGCCCTGGTGGAGCTGCGCAGTTACCACATCATCATCGTGACCAAGTACCTCATCACAGCTGCAGCCAGAGCCAGGAGCAGGGGGGCAAGCCACCTCCCAGAACCGTCCCAGGCTTTGGAAAACAGAGGCACTGGTGGGTCTGTAGTTCTGAGCTTCCTGAAGAGTGTCAGGGATCAGACCCAGAAGGCCATCCTACCCCTCAGGGACTAAGGGGCCACCTTCTCCCCAGCAGTGCAGAGGCACCAGGAGGGGCCGATGGCTGGGAGAAGAAGGGTTAGGGCTCTGCTTTGTAGAACAGAGTACTCTCCTTTGCTGAGAACTGTTGTCCTGAGAGCAGAGCGTATGTGGCTGGAAACATTCCTGTCCTAGCTCATCACTCACTGCAAGGCAGCCAGCAGCTGTGGACACTTCCTGTTCAGAACCCTGCAGAGTAGCTGTATCCCATTCCCTGTTCCAGGTAAGAGAAAAGAATCTAAATTCCAAAAACCAAACAAAATCGCCCATGGACAGATTACCTTGTTGATATTTTCAAAGAACAAATTCACTTTACTAAGTTGCTCAAGTATTAGAACAGGGCTTTCTTCAGCTCTAGCCCAGCCCTCTCTCTGTGCAAGTACTGAATTTGGTGGAGGAAGTGGGGAATGCACCGTGAAGATGTGCAGGGAAGAGGATGTTGACACTAAAAACTTGGAAGTCACAGTGAGAAAATGAATAGTTAATGACATGGGAACCCAGGAGACTTTCCCACAAATTCTATTGCAAATTCTATTTTAATTCCCTTCTCTATTTTTAGAAGAATGTTTTGTTCTCCATACACTGAAAGTCTGTACTTGTAAAATGAATTAATTGACCCCTCAAAAGTAAATGAGCCAAGTAGGAATATACAGTAAATTCCCATGTTTAAATGTGCAAATAAATGTACCTATTTTTATCATCTTGGTTTCTATCTCAAAGTCTCATTCCACCAACAGTAGAAAACCAGACTTTAATCTTGCTAATTTATAGTAAATGACATTAATTTAAGTGCCCCCCTCCCTCCTCCACACACACGCGTATACCTGGGATTGTAGTTAATGTCCAGGAGGTCTGTCTACCACTGTGGCATTGGGGACAAACACATGGTCATTGGGCAGCCTCTGTTTAGAGTACCCTCCCCATGGGGACTCTGTGAAGTGGATCTGGCAGTGGGTCTTGTCCTGGATAAAAGACCTCTTGGATTCTTCAAGCTTCAAGGTCCTATTATAGTAGTAGAAAATCACTGGATTCCTCCCACATTTCTTCAGCATATTTGGAGTCTGTAACACTGGATCAGGTTATCTGCACCTCCAAATAATATAAGGGAAATATTATAACTCCCAACCTGCTAGATGTCTGAAGCGCGGAATTTGTGTTCTATAAAATTAAGAATGAATTCTAGGGACAACAGAGGTTAAGAGTAGGAAGAATTTATTGAGAGAAGGATAGTTTCTGTCTAAGACAGAAGAGGGACTGGAAAGTGGGTTGCCTGCCAACCCTGCTTCTCAAGGGTGTTTTATTGACCAAAGCCACGATGAGGTAAGGCGGGTTGAAGGTGGGGCAAAACTATAGTCAACTAGTAAGATTACAAGTACAGTCATTTAGTTAATACTGATCCAATGGGAAATCACAAGCTGAGTATGAGGTGGAACAAAACTATGATCAAACAGTAAGATTACAAGTATAGTCACTTAGGTAATATTGATTAAATGGGGATCAAATGGGGAAGCAAGTCAAGTAGCAAGTGTAGAAGGAACTAACAAGGATTTTCAGAAAGGGATGGGTCAGGGACCTTTCCCGGAAGGGATGGGTTAAGGTCTTGGTCACCTAGGAGAAGCATGTGGGTGTAGTAGAGCCTCCTGTTCCCGAAGCTTGGCCTTAAGTGAATGAGCCTCAGGCCACAGTTGTCTTCTGGGCTGACTTTCTGAAGGGCCCGACCTCATTTTGTTCTCAAGAACTGGTTGTAACTCAAGTTGGTCAACTGAAGGCTCAGGCTCCTATACATAGCCTTCAAAGTCTCTCTCCTGTGCACAAGCAGATCTCAGTGTCCTTAGAGAGATATTGGCTCAGGATTTCTCAATTAACTACACATTACATGTTGTAATGTTCCTTCAAGAGCTCTTTAAGGGTTAAATCTATATCTGAGACCATCTGGAAGCACAAGCAGCAGGCATCTGGGTGGTAACTGAAGACTTTGTTAGTAAGTTAAAACTAAAATTCTGGTCATAACACAAGCTGTTTGTATGTCAGGCTGGTCGTAACTTGAGGGTCCACTGTATAATGTGTCTAACTTGGCTGTCTACAATACAAGCATCTCCATTTCTAGCACTGACAATTCTGGACCTCATCCACTTTTGGGGCCTTTGGTAGGAGGACCTGAGTCAGGTTTTGCATTAAGGCCCTGCAGACCCCCACCATCTCCTATCTCCAGTGCTTAGTCTGGCGAAGATGGAGAGGTGGGGTATGACCAGAGACACTAGGCAATGCTCCCCTCTGCATCAGTCACCTAGTGACAGGGAACCTTGTGCAGTCCAGGTGCTGAGAGGGAACCCTGGGTCCAACAGTGTTCTCTCCACTTGTTGTTGGGGTCAGACCATCAGCTCCAAAGACTGTGGCTGTCATTATTCAAAAAGCCTTTTCCTCTCATATGCTGTTCCTATCTTGAGCTTGAAAAATCTACTTTGAACTTCAAAATATGAGGACAGTAATCTATTTCTCTTTGATTTTCTCTGGTGTCAGCCCACTCCACATGGCCATGTGTGGCTTGGGGCGAGGGAGTGGCTGGAGAGGGAGAAGCATATGGGTTAGTGATTCAGAGCCTTACTCCTCCTCGGTGTCCTTCTGCAGACAATAGAATGTGCCCTTTAGAGGAAGACCTGGGCTTGAATTCCAACTTCCCCTTGTTTTAAACAATGTAACCTCAATCATTTTCAGAAGGTCATCAATCCTATTCTCCATTTCTTATAAAATCAAGTTGATAAGATGGGTTCCTGGGTGGATATAGCTAATGGAAGGGGTAGCGCAAAGAACAAAGGAAAACAAATCAATGAAACTTTCCTTGGCTGTGAAGTAGGGCTCAGAGCATGAAACAGACACCAGCTGGAAAGAAAAGACAGCATTCTTGAGACACCAGGATCCACAGTCTGCAAAGCCCTAAAGTCACCCTTTATCACATGGGGATGCTAGAAAGTCAGAAAAGTCATGGGCTCCAGGAGTTGAAATAGCTCTGTTTGCGTTCCAGCATTGTCAGATTTTAAACTGACAGACACATTGTTTAACCATAGACACTGCATGATTATTGTTTGGAGCGTAATGAATTTATCATAAGTAGAAAATACATTCAGTATACCCAACCTATTAAACATCACAGGTCAGCAACACAGTCCACTTCAGGCAATCTTCTGTGAAGCCTGGTGATCTTGAGGCTTTGCCTAGCACTGTGAGAGAGGATCCTATTGCATGCTGCTGACAGCAGTAGAAACTCAGAATTCAAGGCCTGGTTTCCAAGGAATGTATATTGTTTTCACATCATTGTAGAATCCTAAAGTCTAAGTTGGGGCCATTGTTGCATGTAGGAATAACCAATTGGTGATTATATTGCTAGCATTTGCTCGGCTATGTCCTGAAGTCTTCCTGCCAGACAGAAGAGCAGTCGAAAGTGGTGTCTACGTTCTTGTGCATGGTGAAGAAAAGGGATAATGTGACCCCAAAACAGGCCACAACATGAAACAGAGTCAAGGCTTTTCTTGAAGTCATGGAGGCACACATGGGAACAATGATAAGGAAATCTGCCTGGGAACTTAAAGGACAGGATCTCAGCCTCTTCTGTTTCCAGCTTTAGTGGGACCTGGACAGGGTGCTGCTGTCCATCCCTCGGAGTGACAGAATTAACAAAGAGCCAGCTCACTGGTTTCCTTTCAATGGATCCAGCCCACTCACAGAACACAGGATTGGACCCCAGGTTTTCAGTCAATGTTGAATGTATGGCGAACCAGATTCAACAGAGTGGGAAGAGGATTATAAAAGTTTCATCTTTCAAAATGAACAGATAATTTTTTTTTGTTGCCATTAAGCCTTTTATAAAGGATGCAACAAATACAAACAAAAGTCTTTATTGTCTCTGCTAATAAATAGCAATTAACCAATGAACCTTATTTCTATTCCAGTGATGATTTCTAGGGATAGAGTTCCATCTTCAGCCTTAAGGTACAGTGATGAAGGCAAATCTTCCAATACAGAAGAGCACACCAGTTTTTCAAGATTTTGGGAGACAAAGAGTATGTGTATCAGTGACAAATGACCAAGAGTAGGAATAACATGTTATATATAAGGGTAGCAACAGGAGCTGGAGAGGATGACCGACCATAGGGGCCCCACGCCAGTGCTGCCTCTCCCTTGCAGATGTTTGCTCCCAGTAGAACCTGTTCTCCTATCTGACATTTCTAAGTCATAGCAATCACATTGGTAGATGTGAGGACCATAGCTGCACTGCAGTGTTTTGTGCAGAGTGAAACAGAACAGACAGTTATCTAGGATGTGGAAGGTGCTGTCCTGGGATGATACTTTCATCCAGATGTAGTCAAGAGAAACTGTAGTCTCCAACACATCACAGCTTCTCAGTAATTAAAGGACTCAATCAACACCCAGACTGGAGGGGCTGGAAGGGAGGCATGCAAGTTCTTGCTTCCAGAAAATGATTTCCTTCAAGATACTTAATCTTATTGCCAGGGCCCCAATGGAGGTGAGGAAAAAAATGCATGTTTTCTTCACACCTGAGGGAGGTTGCATTTTGATTACAAAAGTTTGCTCTATACAGAATAGGTACTACTTATGTTTGATGGTAAGTTTCACCTAAATTTATGCTCTCTTGCGATTACTTCATTTGAGCTTATATTTGTCAGGGTTTTGCAGAAAATGGAAACAATAGTGAGATGGGAGGGGAGAGAGAGACAGAGAGACAGAGACAGAGAGAAGTCTAGAAAGCTGGTGACCCAGGGAAAAGCTGATGCTGCAGTCCGAGTTTGAAGGCTGTCTGGTGGCAGAGTTCCGAGCTCCTTCTTGCTCAAGGGGAGAGCAGTCCTTCTTCTCTTAAGGCCTTCAACTGATTGCAAGAGGCCCATTCACATTATGGAGGGAAATCTGCCTTCTTCAAAGTCAGTTTAAACATTAGTCTTGTCCCAAAAGACCCCACCAGCACAGACACATGCAGAATGTTAGACTAAACATTGGGTGCTGTAGCGCAGTGAAGGTGACATATGCTGACCATCACAAGGCAGTCACTGCCTGGCCTCCTGGTGCTAAGGACCCAGCCTAGGGCCTTGTCACTGCTGGGCAAGTAATCTACCACAGAGTCATGAACCCAGCCCATGGCAATATTGTCTCAATAAAAATGAGAGCTCAGTGCTCCCAAGATTGGCAGGGTAGGGTGAACCCTCACCTGTGGAGGGAAGACAAGGTCTTGAAGGCCACACCTGTGCACAGGTTCACCATCACCTGTGCGGCACCCTGCTCACCGCTACCAGGGCTGAGGAGACCCTGAGTGTTTTGCAGGTCATGCCAAAGTGCATCTAGACTCCCTTTGGTAATGTTAAGGAGATTTCCTAGGATGATTTTTTAAAAAGCACATGCACAAACATTAAAGAAATAGTAGCTAGATAACATGGCAACTGGTAATGCGTAACTGCAGTGCTCAAAGGCACTGTGCCTCCTGACTCAGGCTAACTCTTGATGGGCATGGCTAAAAGTGGGACACAAAGGTCACTCACTTTAGGGAATGTGAAGCCGAGAACATGAGACTCACATGCATGAAATGAGCTCCTCTCCCTTAGGGTTAGTCTGAAATTCACTTTTTGTTATCTCAAAACCAGGACTAAAAGTGAAATAAAACTAACCCCTCTTCCCCTCAAGAGAAAAGGAACA